GGAGAGAGGAGAGACTTCCTTGGGCATCCGCTGGAAGACGCGCGCGAGGAGGGGCTCGTCCGTCTCGGCACGGTGCCGAGCGCAGAGCGCCCGGAGCACGAGCAGGTCTTTTGCGGGTCCGAGACGAAACTCGCCGAGACGATACTTGGCCCAGCCGCCCGCGGCGTGGACGTCGCAGATGAGGTCCGCGCCCGCGGCATATTCTGGCTGTTCCTCACGCTCGCGTTCGTCTTCGACGCGTTCAAACCGAAAGCCAAACCCGGGACCACCGGTGCACGCGCCGTGGCGGAGGAGGAGACGAATCATGTCGACGCGGCCGGTGTCGACGTCTTCGCCATATCGCTCGGCGTCGCGGAAAATGATTCGGCCAGAATCTTCGGCTTCCATGAGAGGTGTGATGTCTTCCCAGTCGCCCGGCCAGCTATCTTCGCCGTCGACTCCAGCGCCCGCGTCAAGGAGCAGCTTTGCGATCTCTACAAAACCTTTGCGTGCCGCGGCGAAAAGCGGAGTGCGACCCGTGTGGGATACTGACGCGTAGTTCGGATCAGCGCCCTTCTTTAGTAACAAGCGTACCGCATCATAGTGACCTTTCTTACCTCCGCCGCGGTGATTCAAGCTAGGTCCGCCGACTGCGGCATCCAAAAGTTCGTCCACCGCTCTTTGCGCTCCCACGGATCGTCCGTGGTGCGTGAGAAAGTTCCGGGGGTCCGGCGCTGCGCCCTCAAGGCGACCGTCGGCTCCCAGTGGATAGTCGACCGTCTCGAAATGCGCTTCGAGCGACGCCACGTCGCCCTGCTTCGCCGCAACCAATGCATCCTCGTGCGAGACCATTTCGTTTGAGAGCGCACCCCTTGCGCGCAGCACGATCGACCTCGCAGGGGATTGCTGCATTCTCGCTCGAGATCGACAGGTGAAAACTGGTTGCGAGTTGCAGTGGATACCCCGTCGCTCGAACTATTGCAAGCCAAGACAAACTTTGAAGAAATCCTAGCTTCTAGAGGGCTAGAGACGGTGTCTCCGCTGGAGTATTCAGCGGCCGATGATGGAATCTCCACCTTAGAGGGGCCCGCGCTCCTCGAATATGCAGCGACGTGCAACGATCCCAGTGGCTTTGAGGTCCGCAAACATGTGGGTGAGGCACATGAAAAGACGCGACATCCGGACGATTGCGAGGCGA